TTCGAAATTGAACTAAGGAGTGCAGTTACAAATTTTTAGTGGAATAATTTGTAATTTATTATGGTGGTACTAATTCGGATATTTCGAATTAAGACCATAATAGGAAGCCTCGTTAATTAAATATTGCGGTCCATATTGTGCCTGAATAATTACGAATTAAATAGAATTCTATTTCTTGGTGGAAAAGGAAGACCCAACAGATTTAGGAAAAAGTTTTAAACCCTAAAACATGTGGCTATATAAAGGGGTCTTCTTCCATGAGGAGGCTATGGTTTTTAGTATACGTTTTTCCTAGGAGAAACTCACCCACACGAGTTTTGCCAATTTCGGGTATTATTTGGGTCACACAGCAGAAGACTGTAGAACTGGAGGATGATCTCGTGGATGGTGTTTGATCTCACTTAAAGGCTCTTTTCTTGATCGCAGTCACGCTTCAAGAGATAAGTATCGATTTTATATTTGATTAAAATTTGTGATTGTGTGTTGTCTATATTACATGCAAGTGATCCTGACTATTTGTTTCCGCTGTTTATACTTATTTTCCATCAGAGACACGCGGCGGCGTTAACGTCAAGTTGGAGGTTTAGAGACATATCTAGGAATATAAAGGTTTAAAGTTGAGCAAGACTAATTCGGAATACTTGGAATGCAAATTAAGTGACGTAACTGATAGGCAGATGTGGAAGTGAAGATTGATATACAAGTCATCCCAATGAGAGGAAGTTTCAAGTATCTTGTGTCAATAATCCAAGGAAATGGGAGATTGACGATGAAGTCACACATTATATTGGAGAGGGATAGATAAAATAAAGTCTCGCATCCTGTGTCCTGTGTAATAAGAATGTGTCGTCGAAACTTAATATTAAGTAAGTTCTATAGAGTAGTTAATAGACCAGCTATGTTGTATGTGGTAGAGTATTAGCTAGTAGAACTCTCACGCTCATTGAGAATAGCGGAAATGAGGATACTGAGATGGATGTGTGGGCATAATATGAGAGATATAATTAGGCACAAAGTTTTTCGGGACAAAATGGGAGTGGCCTCTATGGTGGACAAGATGAGGGAAGTGAGGAAGAGATAGTTCAGCCATGTGAAGAAGAGATGCATAGATGCCCTAGCTAGTGATGAGGTGTGAGAAGTTAGCAATGGTGGGTCTAAGGAGATGTAAAGGTAGGCTGAACAAATATTGGAGAAGTGATTAGATAGGCACATGACATATCTTCAGCTTACCGAGGATATGACCCTAGATAGAAGGATAAAGAGGTCGAGAATTAAGGTAGAATGTTAGTAGGTAGTCGAGTTTAGGACACTATATCTGTTCTTAATTTCCATATCGGTATTATCATTACCATTCTTGTATTATCTTATTATTCGATTTCTATTACTATATGTTGTTTCATTTGCTTCGGATATCTTATTACTTTGTTATTTTATTGTTATTACTGTTTTTGGCTTCTTCACTACTGTTTTACTTTTTCCAAATTGGTCTGAAATATTTTTCTTGAGTCGGGGTCTATGAAAATAAAGTATATATATTATTGTTGTTGTTGCTAAATATATATTGATAGCCTTGTATATTATTGCCAAAAGAAGTTTGCAAGTAGAGATTGAGTAAAATATTTACTCAAAATAAAATTTCATGAGTAAAGCCTAGAATTGTATGAAAACAGTCGAAGTAAAAAAGGAAAATGAATCTTGTAAATTGAAAGGCTAATATAGAAGGAACGTGTTTAGGTTTGCTGCCTAACACCTTTCATAAATAATCCGACAGCAATAACGTGCCTAAAGTTTACTCGTGGCAGGACCTTATAATAGTGAAGCCCCAAAATATCATGGTTCATGCCAACTTTGGTCTTGTTATTAGAAAACTTAATTACTTGAAAAATATTTCAAGCTAACTGATTTTACTCACCGAACTGTAGCTTTTTTCAAGTAAAATTTATATCCAAAAACAACTTTAACTCTTAAGTATTTTTTAAACTTTAACTTCAATCTTTTTCCAACTTCAACCAAATTAATATGCCTAAACGCCACCAATTAATATCATGATCTCCAAAATTTTCTTATTCAATTCACCAGTGCATTTGGTAACTTCCCAAGCTGCATCACAAAAGGAAAATTGAAAGAAAGTGAAAAATATAAAGGAAATTTGGCACTATGTAACAACTTAGCCTATTAATTGGCTAAAATTAACATATTTTTTTATTTATTTGCATTATGTAGCTAATAAATATATATCACAATTATATATGCGTATGTATATTATAACTTTATTTTTTTCTTTGTTTATATCAAAATATATATCAAATATGAAATTATAAATATAGTTATCCAATTATTGTCTCTATATTCAAGTGTATTTAATAAAAATAATTATATTATTTGTATATTATAATATATAACATATCAAATAATATATATACCAAAATGTATATTACTGTTATGAATATATTATATTATGGATGTTCATTTAGTACTCCGCTGTAAATAATCTTCCTGAAGAAGTTTATCCATATGAGACTCCGCCATAAATATGTTTATCTATTTAGTACTCTATTGGAAATAAGCCTCCTGAAGAAATTTATCCTTTCGGTATTCCGTTATGGATAAATATTACCCATGATAGAAGATTATCTATATCTGGCACAACAATTTAGAGCAGCAGCTTACACAGTAGCTTACAAGCAGCTTACACAGCAGCAGCTTACACAGCAGCTTGCAGTAGCAGCTTACACAGCAGCTTCCTTTCTTCTATAAATAGAGGAGAATTCAGTTCATTATGTACA